CCGCCCCCCCTGCCGTATCGCCATACCGGTCCCGCTGCGCTGCCGCCCGCTTTGTTTCCGAACGGGCCGGATCAGGCCCTTCCGCACCGGGTATCCGGCAGACCGCCCCGGAAGTTCCGCCCTCTCTCCCATCCGTGAGCCGCTAATGGCCTTCGTCGAGGTACAAACGTCACTTCTGGCAGCGGCGAATGAAATGGCGAGAAGCGGCGGAGGTGGTGGTGGCGCGAGCAAGATGGCGGTGAGGAGCGGGGTTTCGGGGGGGCGCGTGCCTTCGCCTGAGGAGGCGACTAGGGCCTGGCCTGGCCTGTCCTCCCCTCCCCGATCGTGGCCGCCAAGGGGAGGGCGGAGAGCGTTATGGCAGCTGGTGCCGTGGCGGTGCTGCGTGGTCCCGCCCGTCAGCTCTCTCTCTTCCCGCGCGTGGAGCTCTGCCTCCGGGCGTTCTCCGTAGCCGCCTGACGAGCAGCGTTGTGAAAAAGAGCGTTACGAAGTGTGTGCGCGCTGGGGGGGTGTGGGGGGGAACGAGGCAGGGGAGTGTTTTGTTTAATTTGAGTGCCCTCGCTCCTCCGCTCTAGGATAAGGAGAAGAAGAAGAAGGAGAGCATTTTGGACCTCTCCAAGTACATCGACAAAACAATCCGAGTGAAGTTCCAAGGCGGGAGGGAAGGTGAGCGGCGCCGGGTCCCGGCCGGCGGTGAGGCCTGTGCCTCTGCAGCACGAAGCTCACTCGGCCTTTTGACGTGTTGCCCCGCTCTTCGCTTGCCGGCCTCTGTCCGCTGCGTGGTGCCGCCGCTTTCCTTCAAGGAAGGGCAGCGGGTGCTTCCATTGGTTACTCTCTGCTGTTACCGGTGTTTAGCTTTTCTCCCTTAACTTTGCCGTTAATCCCCTGGCTGCAATATTGTCTTTATGTTTCCTCTGTGCACCTTTCTTTCAGCTTCTTTTATTAGTTGTCTTCAACTGTCTTATTTCTTTTGGCTGTTTTTTCTCATTGCGAGGGTGTAAAAAACATGTACGGGTGTTATGATTAATACACCTGTCATCCCTTTCATTGATTAACATACTAAATACACTTGGAGTTCATAGATTGTTTCAGTACACTTCACCATGTCTTTCCATTACTTTCGAGGCTCCTCGTGCCATTACTTCCCCCCTGAGGTGCTCCTTGCGGTGCTTGCAGCTCTCCATCCCCATGTGGCTGGTAGTGCCAACTGCGGACCGCTTCTGTGAGAGTTAACAGCATGCTGCATGGGAGATGCTCGGCAGAAGCTTTTGCAAAGCACACTCGCTTTGCTTTTAAAAATATCTTTTAAATCTGTACTGGCACTTGGTGCTTATGAGGTTTTGGAAGTTACTTGGACTTCTTCTTGATAAGTGTGGGTTTTCACAGAATTCACAGAATTCACAGAATTGTTAGGGTTGGAAGGGACCTCTGGAGATCATCTAGTCCAACCCTCCTGCCAGAGCAGGGTCACATACAGCACGTTACACAGGACAGCGTCCAGGCGGGTTTTGAATGTCTCCAGAGTGGGAGACTCCACCACCTCTCTGGGCAGCCTGTTCCAGTGCTCCACTACCCTCAAAGTAAAGAAGTTCCTTCTCATGTTAAGATGGAACTTCCTATGTTCAAGTTTATGCCCATTACCCCTCGTCCTATCACTGGACGCCACTGAAAAAAGACTACTCCCATCCCCCTGGCATCCTCCCATTAAGTATTTGTATGTATTAATAAGATCCCCCCTCAATCTTCTTTTCTCTAGACTAAAGAGACCCAAGTCCCTCAGCCTTTCCTCATAAGAAAGGTGCTCCAGTCCTCTAATCATCTTTGTTGCCCTTTGCTGGACCCTCTCCAGCAGTTCCCTGTCTTTCTTGAACTGGGGAGCCCAGAACTGGACACAGTACTCCAGATGCGGTCTCACCAGGGCAGAGTAGAGTTTTGGTGTGGTTGGGGTGGTGGTGGTTGTTTTTGGGCAGTTGGCAATTCCAATGGATCTAGTGATTTAGATTTTCTTCTCAAAAAAACCCCAACAAACCAAACATGCTAAATTCCCTTACGATCTTTGTATGACACCTGGGATTGTATAAGTCCCTTCTCTGATTTGGGATGTTAGCAATGATAGTGATGCTGATAATCAACAAGTATTTTTCAAACTGGGAGACCATTCTATGTAGTTCTGTGATTTATTTAGTCATCAACAAATCATGTTCTTTTTCAGGACAAAGTGCTTGTCTGTCTACAGTGCATTCCTATGAATGCAGTGCTTATGCTAAAGAGATTATATTCCAGGAGCGTACCTGGAAGATGGGTTTTCTGAAGAAAACACTTCAAAATATTACAGTCTTGTCTCATTTTTTGCTATACCCCTTTGCTAAGGGTATTTGTTTGGGTTTGTTTTTTTTTGTGGTGTGACTTGCATTGATTTGTTATGCTGAAGTATTCTTAAAATGACCCTGAAATTTGCTGGAGAAAAAAAAGTTAGTGTCTTGAAGAGCATTTTGAAGAATTGGTTGAAAAACCTGTAGGTTTCAGTTGGCACAGCACAAACTGGGTTCTTGTGCGTTTGCACTTTGATAAAGAGGGCAGCTGTTCTCCACACATCATTACCTCTGATATCATTTGCTTGATAGCCTTGCTTGAAGGAGGGATCAGAGCTGGGGAACTGAATTTGTCCTTCACGCAGTCTTGTGTTGCTGTATACCTGGTTTGGTGTCTAATCATTGTTTTGTGTGTGGTCTTCAATAGCGAGTGGTGTCTTGAAAGGATTTGACCCTCTTCTGAACCTTGTGCTTGATGGTACCATTGAGTATATGCGAGGTAAGTAATATGCTATTTGTGTGAAGCTTGTTTTGTTCTTTTTTTTCCCCCAAGAATAATTTTCTTAACAGAAATCTTACAGCTCAGCGAGTGAATACCCAGAAAATGCAGGTTGACATCATCCAAACTGAGACATGTTCATGATAACTAAGTTGTAAGCAAAGGGATAAGATAACAGAAGTTAGGTTAAGCACACTCCCTGTGGTAGAACATTCTTGGTAGTCCTTGCTTGAGCTCCTCTATAACTCATTTGGCACTCTTGTGCTCTAAAGCTTGAATAAAGTAATGTGTCTCTCTTCAGATAAGGCCATTGCCTTTGCCTTTGTTTATACTGCTGGAGGGTTGCTGGTTTGCTCAAAGCAGGAAAACCATCTCAATAAGAACTATTATCTTACTGTCTTAAACTCTCCTGTAAATGCAATATTTGTATTTCTGTGGAACGAAAGCCTTCTATAGCTGCTTAGAGCTAATAGAGCTGTAGGGTTTTTTTCTTTCTATTTGTTTCTTTTTCCCGTGCCAGAATAAGGACTCCCATTTCCCTTTTTCACCTCTGAAAAAATAATTTATCATATGATAGGACAGCATCTTTGAAGAGTATTCTCTTGCCTGCTTAAAAGTAATTGTCTGAAGCTTTAATTTTGCTTTTAGATTGGAGTTTTAAAAGATGAATGTAGTTCATTTTTATTGAATATATTGGCATCTCAAGGAGGGTAGAATTAGCTATTGCTGTGCTAAATGTTTGTCAGTCCCCATCCACAGCCTTGTTTGGCGTGGTCTGGGAATGGACCAGTGCATTCTGTACTTAGTGCATTCTGAAGTCAGGGTCTCTTTCTGATTTGCATTGATCACAAAGTGTTTATCTATAATGGCATTTGAAATGGGATTAGGAGCATTTTTAATCACTTATATGCATGCTTTTGGTTAGATGAATGAAAGGGCCTTTGAATTCTTTGAAAGATGTTTTGCTTTGCATACAAAGTGAAGTTCTTTATTCCTTACTGTGGTATGTGCTGCTTTGAAAATTAGTAAATCAGTAATGTTCTGAAGACATCAGATATTACTGCTGCATTACTTTTATAGTCGATGTGTTCAATATATCAATGCAGAGATGCCTGGAAAAAAAAATAGTATGTGTGCCTTTCGAAGTTGATGGAATTTGGTTTCTTTTCCTTACGTTGCCATTGTAACTGTGGTGCTCTACTTTTCAGATCCAGATGATCAATACAAATTAACAGAAGATACGCGTCAGCTGGGACTTGTGGTCTGCAGAGGGACCTCTGTGGTTCTTATTTGTCCACAGGATGGAATGGAAGCTATTCCAAATCCTTTCATTCAGCAGCAAGATGTCTAATGCTTTCTTTGGATTGTTTCTGAAGACGTCAAGGGTGCAAATCATCGGAGAAAACTCAGTGTGTGAGAAGCTTCCTGTTTTGGGGGAGGAGTTTGTATGTGTATTTGTTAGTGTGAAAGAATGGTCAACTTTTATTTTTGTGGCTTTCCATAAATGATAAGAGGGTGGGGCATGGTGTGTAAGAAGTAAGTTCTGATTTTTATTTTTCTTTCCCCAAATAAATGTGTAATTACATTGTTTAGAGCTGACAGGAGAGAGTATACTGCCATGGAATTGTCTGAGACCCTCTTGATCTTGTGAGATTTGAAACAACCACATAAAACTAGTAAAGAATGCCCTGAATATTGGTTATATTATTTACACTTTTAAATACATTAAAAATGTATTTAATCTAAAGCCTAAGTACAGTAGAACGTTTCACTTCGTCTTAGATGTCAGTACTCAGCTGGGAAGCATTGTGTTGTACATCTTCCTGCTGTTGAGTTCAGTCTCTTTTGCCTGCTTGCTCCAGAGCATGCAGGAAAATGGCTTCCTTGGATAGTACCTTGTCATCACCTTTACAAGCGATGTAGCTAAGAAGATCTTTTCTAGCACTTGTTCCAGATCTTGTGGGCTGTGATCTGTGTATCAGAAGGCTCCTGCATTTCTACAGAAGGACTGGACTAACTTCTAGGATGATTCTTGGCTGAGTGACATGAACCTTATGGGTGTATCTGTTCGATACTTGGAATTTTAGGGGAAGAATATTTAAGATCCTAATGTTCAATTGTGGGCAGTACCTGGAAATACTGTATATTTTTTTATATTGTAGCTGTCCACTTGTGGTTCTGCTTATTATAACTTGATTTGTAAGTAAACATTTTCATTTCTTTTATACTGCAGAAATAGCAAGATTTGAGGAGTTTTGAGTGAATAAATACAAATTAATGTGTTCCTAAACGTCTGGTTTTTAGTCTGAAAAAGTGCTCTACAG